GCAGATGGGAGCTGATGTAGAGTAAACAGAGATTATAATGTGTCTGGAACAGGGCCTGTGTCTAAATATTTACCTGAATTCCAGAAATAAAATAGCCCAAATAGACAAGCCTCCCCTTCTCCTCTGTCCCAATCCAGGAAGAGAGAAGGCAGACATGGTAGACATGCAGGCATGTGCTGTTCTGTTTTATTAATCTTTAACAGAGAGAGAGGAATGGAGAGAGAGAGAAACATTGATGTGAGAGTGACATCAATTGGTTGCCTCCCGCACGTGCCCCGACTAGGGAACAAAACCACAACCTGGGTATGTGCCCTGACTGGGAATCAAACGTGTGACCTTCTGGTGTACAGGCCATGCTCCAACAAACTGGGCCACACTGGCCAGGGCTTTCTATCGATATCTCTGTTTTTATGTTTCCTATCTTTTTGTTGAACTTCTCACCAAGCTCATCTACTCTTCTTCTAAGTTCATGGAGCATCGTTATAACCAGTGTTTTGAACTCTGCATCTAGCACATTGCTTGTCTCCATTGCATTGAGTTCTTTTCCTGGAGTTTTGTTCTGTTCTTTCATTTGGGACACGTGTCTTGGTCTCCTCATTTTGGCAGCCTTCCTCTGTTTGCTGCTATGTCTCCTAACTTTGTTAGAGTGACCTTACGTAGTAGGTGTCCTGTAGGGTCCAGTGGCACAGTCTCCCTGTTCCCTGAGCCGGGCAATCCAGGTGTGCCCCCTCTCCCGATCCCCCTTCCATGTGAGCTGGGTACACCTTCCTGTTATAGTTAAGCCTTGATTGCTGTTGATACATCCATGGGAATTACTCACAAGGCTGGGCAACTACAAGGACTGGCTGTGCCCACCATGGAGGATCATCATGGAGCCGGACTTACGTCAGCGGGCTTTGGTGCCTGCTGAGTCTGCCTCTTGAGTGTGTCACTTAGAGATGGTTGGGGGTTCTTCATTGTGGACTGAAGCTGTCCACACAGTGTGCTGGCCCTGGGGGCCTCCTGGGAATTTCAGGCCAAGGTCAGCCAACGTGCGTTAGGCCATTCTTGACTCCTGGGCTAGTGGTGGAGTATACACAGGCTGTTACTTTCCTGAGGGTGTGGGAGTAAAAATAAAATTAATGTGTAAACTTGAATTACTTTCTTCCTCTGGGCTATGGCTTCACTCAACAATGAAAGGTTGACCTTAATCATTTCCAAGATAATTCTAGCATAGGATGCCTGGGCTAAGATGTCTCTTTTCTATTTCCTGACACACAAAACAAAATTTTAGTTAGCATTCAATGATGTCTTCATGCCTTTTCCTATAATCCTCTCCCCCTGCCAAGAAACAGGTAACTTCCGGGCATGGATTATTCCCAGGTCTCAGGCTGTGTGAGTGACTCGGAGACAGCTCTGGAATTGTCCTTTTTTGTTAAAGGTTTTAAAAAATTGTGTTCTGGTAGGAAATGGAGGCAGTAGAATGTGATTGTGAATTCCCTAAAGTCAAAGGAGAACACAGCCTTCTCGCCTTTTGTGATGCCACATCGTGTTATCTGCCCATTGCACCACGCTATCGAACAAACCTGTTGGGTTTGGTTAGACTCCGCTCATCTTCCACTGTGACGGCAAACCATCCGAATGCTTGTAATGCCTGAGCCCCACAGGAAATGAGAAAGTCTGGCGGAGAAGTTAGAAGCAAGGTCAAACTGAATTTTAGATCCAGCCTGCAATCCTGTGTTCAGAAGGAATGTGGGAGGAGATGACAGAGAAGAACACGCCACTGGGCGAGTCCCTGGTTGGGGCACAAACGTGGGTGAGGAGTGGGCTCAGAGGATGTTTTGGGAAATCAGGGTAATGAAAACATTGTCAATGAGCTCCCCTGAGAGGGAGGGCTAGTGTGCGGACCTGGCGTAGGAGAGCAGATGATGGGTGTCTGTGTATTAGCTTGCAGGAGCTGCCATAACAAAACATCACAGACTGGGTGGCCTACACAACAGAAATGTATCTCTCCCCTCCCTCACCCTACAATTTGGAGATTATAAATGCACAATCAAGGTGTTGTTAGGGTGGGTTTCTGGTGAGATGTCTCTTTTTGGCGTGTCGATGGCTGCCTTCTCTCTCGGGACTCACCTGGCCCCTTTTGTGGGCGCATCAAAATTAGAGATCCACCCTTATGACCTAATTTTACCTTAATTGCCCTCCTACAGACCCTATCTCCAAATATAGTCACATCGGGGATTAGAGGGCTTCAACATATCCACCTTGGGGCCACATAATTCAGACCAAGATAGTGTTCATTGCAGTTCTTGTAAATTGCCTTGGATGGTGGAGTGATTGTCCTCTTATAGGGGAGGAAGGAACTGATTGAGGGCCAGCTGAATGTCAGTCATGACTGATTCATGATTTTTTTTTTTTTTGATCCTGTACAACCCTGTCATGAGCATAGACTGAAGCTCACAGGTGTTAGGGTCACCCAGATAGTAAGAGCTCAAGAAAGCATCCAAACTCTGATTTCTAAGCGCATGCCACCATGCCAGAGAGGGGACTTCCATGGAGACCTTGCTGAATTCCTAGGGACTCTGTCTTTAAACTTGGAGTTGCCCAGAAGCCTGTGTGGCAGGTCCATTTGGGGGTCTCTGAATAGGGAAGAGACGTGATCCAAGTTGTGCTTCGGGGAGGTGACTGGCCATGTGTGGGAGTATGGGTGTGGGTGACTGGTGACCATCTAGAACTTGTTGCCATGACACTGTTGAGAGATAATGACAGACAGCAAGGGCCATATAAAAAGTGCTAGATTTTGCAGAAACCGGTTTGGCTCAGTGGATAGAGCGTCGGCCTGCAGACTGAAAGGTCCTGGGTTCTATTCCGATCAAGGGCATGTACCTTGGTTTCGGGCACATTCCCAGTGGGGGTGGTGCAAGAGGCAGCTGATCGATGATTCTCTCTCATCGATGTTTCTAACTCTCTATCCCTCTCTCTTCCTCTCGGTAAAAAAAAATCAATAAAATATATTTTAAAAAAATAAAAAAGTGCTAGATTCCCATGACATTGTGAGGTCAGTCAGGCTTTGGTAAATGATTGAGTGCAGGCCATGGGCAAAGGGAGGGAGTCCAGGAATAGGGAGGCCAAGGAGAGCAACTGGGAGGACCACAGTGCCCCTGATGGAAATGAAATGCATTTGGGGGTACCCAATTCATGGGGTACCCCAAAGCACTCCCGGCCCCCATTCCATCAGGCGGTGAGGAGGTACCTCCAGAAAGACTGTAACTGCTTAGAGTCCAATGCACCTCTTGGGGGGATGTTGGAGAGGACTTCTTGAACTTGAGGTTAATCTAAAACAGTTAATCATTACTGGTAATTATGCCCTTAATAGTACATTAGGCTTAATAATTTATCAAGTGATAAATGAAGAGATAATGGGTCGGGACAGGCAGGCTGCTTGTGTAAGGGAAATTGGATTGAAGTGGATTATCCTCACCAAGCTTTGAGGAGAAAAAGGTGGATCTCTAAACAGCCTGTTTTTCTCCCAGTCTCTCCTTCTTCCTCTCTTCTTCCTCCTCCTTCTTTTTTCTCCTTTCTTTCTTCCCCTTTATCCCCCTCCTTCTCTCCCTCTTTTTTCTTTTCCCTGAACATACAAAACATTAAAAAATATTTTTTATTGATTTTTTTTTTTTTTACAGAAAGGAAGGGAGAAGGAGAGAGAGTTAGAAACATCGATGAGAGAGAGAGAGACATCCATCAGCTGCCTCCTGCACACCCACTATTGGGGATGTGCCCGCAGCCAAGGTATATGCCCTTGACCGGAATCAAACCTGGGCCCCTTGAGTCCGCAGGCTGACACTCTTTTTCACATCCTGAGAATGCCACTTACAAGCAATTTATTTCTTGTGCAAATTTTACTTGGCCCTATTCCTTTAGCAAAGGCAAGCATGCCTACGTTGCACAACACACTTTCAAGTACAGATGACTAAAGGTTAAAACTCTTCAGTGGCACTAGTCAAAGTACACAGTTCCCCTTTCTTCATGAATGTGTCCGCCCACATACTCAAGTCCCCAATTTGGAGTGACCCTTAATGGCTCTTTCCATCACTTCCCACAGTGACCCATCAACAAGGCCCCTCAACTTTGTTTCTGAAGCAGACCCTTGTCTCTGCCATTGTCTTTGTCTCTCCTGCAGCCACTCTCATGGTTTCTCTTGTCTCCCTTGTCCCCAACACTACTACACTTTCCACATCCTTGAGAGCAATCTTTTGAAAGCCCTACTTGGTTTGGGTCAGCGGAGAGAGGGTTGGCCTGCGGACTGAAGGGTCCCGGGTTTGATTCCAGTCAAGAGCACGTGCCCAGATTGTGGGCTTAAGCCCTAGTAGGGGGCGTGCAGGAGGCAGCTGATCAATGATTCTCATCATTGATGTTTCTATTTATCTCTTCCTATCCCTTCCTCTTTGAAATCAATAAAAATATATTTTAAAAAATAAATACAAAGCAAATTAGATCCTGTCCCTACCCAGTGGCTTCCCATCACGCTTGGAATAAAATCTACACTTCCTATCCTGGCTTGTTAAGACCTATGGGATGTATCCCCACTTAGCTTTCCAGCCTCATCTCACACCACCCTGCTCCTTGGCCACCACACTCCGGCCACTCTGACCTTGGCCCTGCTTCTCCACTATGATGACTTTCCAACTCCAAGGTCTTTGCTTGGCTGAAATGATCTCAGAGTGGCTGACTTCTGGGGAGGCCCGGTGGGTTGTGGGCCTTCCGGGTCTTCACTGTTGTACATTGGGCTCACAAAGGACTCCCAGACGATCTGATTTGGGGAGACAGCCTGCCGGCCCTTCCTCTAATGCTTCCCTTTTCCTCTTCACTATTGTTACCCAGGTCCCCAAGTCACGCTCCTGGCCCGTCTCTGCTCTTCCCTGACCTCCTTTTGGCTGACCTGTCTCTTCTTTCCTTGCCTCGCCCCTGAGTGTCCCGATGAGGCACGGAGTCCTCACTCTCCTCGATCTTTGTGTTTCCAGATTGGAGCGTCTCTCTTCGCCAGTAACATCGGAAGCGGCCACTTTGTGGGGCTGGCCGGGACGGGAGCAGCGGCAGGCATCGCCACCGGGGGCTTTGAGTGGAATGTGAGTAGCATCAGAGACCCGTGTCCTGGCACTGGAAGGAGCTCTAGCCGTCAGGCATCCGGGTGGACCTGCGCAGAGGCAGATGCTGTAGGTGTCAGGGAACCTCTCCCCGCCGCCCTGCGGTGCAGATGAAAGAGCAGCCAGGTGTCAGGGCCCAGGGTCCACTCCCCTTCCACCAGAGCAGCGCGAGAAAGCCACGGATAAGAAGGCAACAGTGGTCCTTTCTTCTCTTAAAAAGCCAAGCACTCCTCTGCCCTTCCAGCCACATTGGAGGCTTGCAAATGCTTATCACCAGGTCCCCGTTATTATTATTAATTTATTTTGAATTTCTGGAAAAGGAAAAAGGAGTTACGATGTCCCTGGGCAGTCACTAGGGGTCCCCTTCACGGTTGCTCAGCGACCATTCCCCTGGGCCAGCCAGGCAGCAGAGACCTCCCCATCTCCGATGGCCACACGGGGAGTTGTCCTCGGAGCCCGAAGAGAAGCCGCTGGGGGGTTGTTCTGCAGTGACTGGGGGTCCCCAGGCGGTGTGATCTGACTCCATTTCTTTTTTGGTTCTAGGCCCTGATTTTGGTGGTTGTGCTGGGCTGGGTGTTTGTCCCCATTTACATCAAGGCTGGGGTAAGTATCCAATGCGTGTGTGTGTACACACACACACTTCTGACACCTTGATCACACTTCTGACATCACTCTGGCTGGCAGTGACCTCCCTTACACCCCATGCAGGTGGTGACGATGCCAGAGTACCTGAGGAAGCGATTCGGAGGCAAACGGATCCAGATCTACCTCTCCATTCTGTCCCTGTTGCTCTACATTTTCACCAAGATCTCGGTGAGTCCACTGCCGCCCCATCATGTAGCCCGTCTCCCTGCCAACCTGGAGCTGCAGGCCCCAATTTCCAGAGCTGGGACTCCTCAGGGGTTGGCTGGCCATGGGGACGTATTTAAGAACTGGACGGAGCTCTGGGCAGACACACTGGAGCAAAATATGTATTCCTTCTTCACCTCACCTTTCCTTCCTCAGAAGTGTGCAAGTCAATTTCTTTGGACAGCAAAACAAAGCAAAGCAAAAGACTCAGGAAACCGCGGAAGTTCAGAGTCTTGGGTTTCTTTGAGTAGATTCCCAGAAATGGAATCCATGGGTCACTAGGCAGCTCCATTTTTCATTTCTTGATGAAGTTTCATACTGCGTTCCACAGTGGCCATACCAATCTGCGTCCCCACACACAGTGCACACGGGATTCATTTTTCTTCACAAGTTGTTTGTCTTTTTTTTTTTTTTGCTGTTGAGTTGAAAGAGTTTTTATATATTCTGGATAGCAGACCCCTATTAGATGTATGATTTGCAAATATTTCCTCCTGTTCTGTAGATTGCCTTTTCACTTTATTAAATAATATAGATTTTATTGATTTTTTTTTTTTTTTTACAGAGAGGAAGAGAGAGGGGTAGAGAGTTTGAAACATCGATTAGAGAGAAACTTCGATCAGCTGCCTCCTGCACATCCTCTACTGGGGATGTGCCCAAAATCAAGGTACATGCCCTTGACCGGAATAGAACCTGGGACCCTTCAGTCTGCAGGCCAATGCTCTATCCACTGAGCCAAACCGGTTAGGGCTCACTTTCTTGACAGTGTCCTTTGGTGCACAAAAGTTTTAAACCTTGACAGAGTTCATTTTATCTACTTCTACTTTTGTTGCTCATGCTTATGTTGTCACTGAATTCACTGATTGTGTGACACCCAAAAAAATCCATTGATAGAGCCGAGGTCCTAAGGTTGACTCCTGTGTTAGCTCCTTAGGGTTTGAGTCTTTGCTCTTCCATGTAGGTCTTTGATCCATTTTGAGTTAATTTTTGTGTATGATGTAAGGTAGGGGTCCAACTTGATTCTTTTGCATGTGGAAATCCAGTTCTACCGGCACCACTGTGTTTTTTTTTTGTTTGTTTGTTTTTTTTGAGGAGACTATCATTTCCCCAAAGAATGGTCTTGCATGTATGTTTTTCACACAACTCATTGAAAACCTGCTCTGCCCATGGGCTTTGTCTTGGAGTTGGGACTGATGCTCGACTTTCTACTTCAAACTTTGACTTCCCTGACTGGTAGCTCCGCACTTTCCCTGCCAAAGGAATGATTCTACCTCCTCCATTTTTTCCCCCTTCCCTTCTTCAGGGTTAATTTTCAGTTACAGTCCTATTCCATTAGAGATTGGTGTGCAGACACTGCACTGGGAAGAGCTGGGGGCAGGGGATAGAGAAACCAGCCTTCTTGAGGCGTGAGGGACAGCAATGGGAAAGGAGAAAAAGAAATGTAAGCGGGCAGGGTGGGGAGGTCACCTTGAACTTGGTGAGGGAGCAGTTCCTTGGCCCCGCCTATGAGCTGTCACCTGTTTAACGTAGAGCACGGCACTTGGACTCCCCTCCTCGGAAGCAAGGTTTCTCTGAGTCCACAGTTCAAGCGGGTGGAAGTCTGTTGACGATGGTTGCTATGGAGAGGGCACTCTTTGCCCTCACGGCTAGCAGAGGGGTAGTCCTATAAAGACACGGAGTAGCCAACCTCACTCCCTGCCTTCCTGAGCAACTCAGCTCACCTGTGGCTCAGGTTACTCATTAAACCTTCCTGGACGTGGGGGCCCCCAGGTAGCTGAGGGGCAGCATCCCTCGGCTCCGGTCCTGATGGAGCCCGTTCCCTAGCAGTCAGCTTTTTTCGAAATTCTGCTTTTACATAGGGCTTGGTGTAGGATGTTCCCACTCTGGGTGATTTCTGGGGCTCCTTAGTGGCGTTCGGGGTCCCAAGGGCAGAAGGAATTCCTCCCTGAAGTTAGGAGTGACTCACGGGAGGAAGAATTTGTCTTAAGTTTTTTCCCTCTTTATGAGGGAGTTTTCCTTAGGATTCTTTATCTGCCCTGTTGGCTGAAAGGAGAGTACGTATTATCAAAACCAAGGTTTCTATTAGCCCAACACTTCTCACAAGTGTTTATAGACGTTGTTTATAGCTTATCGTAGGAGTTGCGTGTTACTTATTTGTGACTACTAACAGCCAGGCAAATATTAATGAGGCTATCACAGTGTCCTATGGTGGTGTGCTGTCATAAAGCATGACTCATTAACCACTCTGGAAAATAAACCGATCAAGGGTTTATTGGCAGCAGTAATCTTGGAGTATATACATTTTTTGCTCACTGTGCTCATTAGCTAATCTACGGAATCATACTTAACAGCATTCCCCTGAAATCAATGAACAGAGCCCTTCAGGGGAGATATGGAGCTCTGGGGCGGGGTGGGGGGTTGGGGGTGGGGGTGGTGGGTAACCTTGGGATCGATCACTCATCACAGTTTCAAGTGGCCCAGTGTGGAGAAGCACGGCTAAGGAGCAGCTGGGGACTCCTCTTTCTCGACTGCTGCAGAGGGCAGGATGGTGCAGGTCTAGGACCTGGGAAAGAAACATCTTCCTCAATGGTGGACCCCCCCACTTCCGGCCACTGAGGGTTTATTTATTTATTTATTTATTTATTTATTTTAATATATTTTATTGATTTTTCACAGAGAGGAAGAGAGGGGGATAGAGAGTTAGAAACATCGATGAGAGAGAATTATCGGTCAGCTGCCTCTTGCACACCCTCCACCGGGGATGTGCCGGCAACCAAGGTACATGCCCTTGCCCGGAATTGAACCCGGGACCTTTCAGTCCCCAGGCCGACGCTCTATCCACTGAGCCAAACCAGTCCCGGCATATTCATTTATTTTAAAAAATATGTTTTTTTTTTTTTTTTTATTAATTTCAGAAAGGAAGAACGTAGGAGAGAGAAAGAGAGAAGTATCAACGACGAGAGAGAATCATGGATCGGCTGCCTCCTGCACGCCCCACACTGGGGATCGAGCCTGCAACCTGGGCCTGTGCTCTGACTGGGAATCGAACCTAGACCTCCTGGTTCATAGGTTGATGCTCAACCGCTGACATGGAGAGGCACGATGTTTTATCCGGTCACTCGGGCCTATGGTGGCAGCGCTGGGGTTAAAGTCCAGGCCCTTTCACCAGCAGCCCTGAGGTGGTGGTGGTGGTGGTGGTGGTTGGTGGTAGGGAGTTCTCTTTCTGAGTCACCAGGATTCTCCCTGCCTCCTGCTTCTGCCTCTTCTCCTCCACCAGGAACTACAATGACGTTAGGTCCCCCGGGGCTAGAGAGTTTGTAGGGGACCCAAGGCACAGGGTCCTCTCAGGGAAGGAGGTCATGTATTCACACGTAGGCTTGGAGTTGGTGTGAGACTAGTTCTCAGATGGCAGAGAGCCAGGGAACAGGAGATTTGATTGGTGGGGACCCATGTCACTGGAGGGTCCTGAGGAGCTGGGAGGAAGCAGAGAGGGGAAGATAAGAACAGAGAGCCCGTTTTCCAGGGCTCTGAATGGATGGCCGTTTACATGTCCTGAAATACATTCGGTCTCATGCAATAAAACACCTCGTCCATTGCATCTACGTGAAGTCTAGTTTCTTTCCTACCTAGAGACAGGAAAGGATTCACCTAGGGGTATTTTGGAGATGCCAGGAAAACTCCTTTTGGGTGACTCCAGCGCCCTCTGTTGGTTTACATGAGCCCCTGCACTGTCCCGCCAGGTAGAAGGTTCTCTGTGTGGCTAAATGAAGCAGGGAGGAGAGAAAGGACTGTATCAAGAACTGCAGCCAGCTGGTCTCTCTCACCCCTAACTCACCTCTCCTCTCCTTCCAGGCAGACATCTTCTCTGGGGCCATCTTCATCAACTTGGCCTTGGGCCTGGATCTGTACCTGGCCATCTTTCTCTTATTGGCCATCACCGGCATCTACACCATCACAGGTGAGTTATTCACGTGACTTGACTCAAGCGCAGTCCAGGGTTAGGCGCTCGGGAACAAGGACAGGGAGGAGGGAACTAGCTGTCTTCTCTCGGGGGAAAGAACTACCACTGAGCCACACCGGCCTGGCCAGATGCTCTTTCTTACTACAGAGGAGCCATCTCCAGGCTTAAACGGATCACGGGGAGCTCTCCCTCCTCCAATAGGGAGAAACATTTTTTTTCTTTTAAAAAAAAATTATATATATATATATATATATATTATTGATTTCCACAGAGAGGAAGGAAGAAGGATAGAGAGTTAGAAACGTCGATGAAAGAGAAACACCGACCAGCTGCCTCTTGCACATCCCCCACCAGGGATGTGCCCGCAGCCAAAGTACATGCCCCCGACCGGAATCGAACCCGGGACCCTTCAGTCCGCAGGCTGACGCTCTAGCCACTGAGCCAAACTGGTCTCGGCAGGGAGAAACATTTCTCCTTTCCTCAGGGTCTTCCCAGCATTTCCGTGACGAAGTGGAGATGTTGGATCATGCTGGGTAGCAGACTGCTGTCACAGGACAACAGGAGGAAGGAAGGAAGGGGAGGCGGGTGCCTGAGGGGGTGTGTTCACGCGGTGTGCAGAGCGAGGCGGGGGGCAGCAGTGGGCACGGGAGGCAGGCTGCCTGGGTGCTCTCCTGCGGGAGGTCAGATACACTGTCTCCTTGTCCGCACAGGGGGCCTGGCGGCTGTGATTTACACGGACACCTTGCAGACGGCCATCATGCTCGTGGGGTCTTTCATCCTGACTGGGTTTGGTGAGTGGGGCTGAGGAGGCGGGGGTGAGAGGGAAAACAGAGTTTTTGAACCTGGTTCCGAACCAAGGTCTTTCTTCCAACAAGTCAAGGGCCTTCCCTGTGTGACGATGCTCATGGGTGGAGTCCTCTCACAGGTCATTGCTTTGGAGCCTCAGGGTAGTCCCTGAGGAGGCCGGGCAGGGACAAGGATGACAAAGCTGAGGCCCAGACGGTGACCTGCCCGAGGCTCTCGGTTTCTTGGGCCTCCCCAGGAGGCAACTGCTGTGAGGGGGCAGAGATCCTGGATGCTGATTTTTGTGACTGATGTTTTCCAGCTTTTAACGAAGTGGGAGGGTACGAGGCCTTCATGGAAAAGTACATGAACGCCATCCCGACCAAAGTTTCTGACGGGAACATCACCATCAAGAAGGAATGCTACACCCCCAGGAACGACTCCTTCCACATCTTCCGAGACCCCCTCAAGGGAGACCTGCCGTGGCCTGGCCTCATCTTCGGGCTGTCCATCCTCGCCCTGTGGTACTGGTGCACAGACCAGGTACCCACACCGGATGTGCAGGGGGGGACAAGCAAGGTCTCCGCTGGGTGCTGCGGGAACGCCTGTCTGTCTGTCTGTCTGTCTGTGGCTTGGGGGGTCACGGAGCCTTGGTAACATGGGAGTGCCAGGCTGAGCACCCAGGACATGGGGGAGGGGAGCTGGGGTGGCCGGAAGGCGCCAGGACCTGCACCTCACCCGGCCTTTCCTGCCAGGTCATCGTGCAGCGCTGCCTGTCCGCCAAGAACATGTCCCACGTGAAGGCGGGCTGCGTGATGTGCGGGTACCTGAAGCTGCTGCCCATGTTCCTCATGGTGATGCCGGGCATGATCAGCCGCATCCTGTACACAGGTGATGCCGACGGCTGGGCTCCGTGGCCACTCTCCCCCGTGCCTGGCTCTGAGCCACTTTGAAAGCTCTGTGGCTCCCTGCTGCTGCTGCTGCTGCTCCTCCTCCTCCTCCTCCTCATCTTCTCCTCCTCCTCCTTCTCCTCCTCCTCTTCTTCTCCTCCTCCTCCTCCTCTTCTCCTCCTCTTCTCCTCCTTCTTTTCTTCCTCACCTTCTCCTCCTCCTTCTCCTCCTCCTCCTCTTCTCCTCCTCCACCTCTTCCTCCTCCTCTTCTTCCTCACCTTCTCCTCCTCTTCCTCCTACTCCTTCTCCTCCTCCTCTTCTCCTCCACCTCTTCCTTCTTCTTTTCTTCCTCACCTTCTCCTCCTCTTCCTCCTCCTCCTCCTTCTCTTCTTCCTCATTTTCTCCTCCTCTTCCTCCTCCTCCTCCTCCTCCTTCTCCTCCTCCCCCTCCCCCCTCTGGTCCTCCTCCTCATCCTCTTCCTCTCCCCCCTCCTCTTCCTCTACCATCACCTCTTCCTCCTCCTCCTCCTCTTCCTCCTCCTCCCCTTCTTTCTCCTCCTCCTCCTCCTCCTCCTCCTCCTCCTCCTCCTCCTCCTTCTTTTCTTTCCATGCATTGCCAAGTATTATTGATCTCCCTCTAGACAGTGAGAAACTTGAGGTCACAGAACCCACAGAATTGCCTTCCCTGGTTTTTGCAAGTCCTCTGAAGTCATGATAGGCCTGCAGCTGTAGCTTCTTCCAACTGATACCGTGTTTCCCCAAAAATAAGACATCCTCTGAAAATAAGACCTAGTGCAACTTTGAGAGAAAAATTAATATAAGACACTGCCTTATTTTCGGGGAAACAGGGTAGCAGCTCACTGCTTGCTCAGGCCCACACAGGCTGTGGAAGGTGTATGATGTCCTTAATGTCAGGACTCCAGCTCTTCTCAAATGGCCTGCTGCTCCGAACCCTGCTTCCCGGACCATCTCCTTGAAGGAGCCCCGAGTTTGCACTTTGCTTTCTAGGGTGACAGATTCCTTCTTGGTCCTTTCTTGGCCTCTCAAGCATTGCCATTGGTTTTTTTTTTTTGTTTTTTTTTAAATATTTTTATTGATTTCAGAAAGGAGGGGAAAGGGAGAGAGATGGAAACATTTACAATGAGAGAGAATCACTCAGTGCTTGAGTGTTGGCCCTTGAACCAGAAGGTCACAGTTTGATTCCCGATCAGGGCACAGGCCTCGGTTTCGGGCTCCATCCCCAATGTGGAGCGTGCAGGAGGCAGCCGACCCACGATTCTCTCTCATCACTGATGTTTTTTTCTTTCTCTCCCCATCTTTCTACCATTCTCTGACATCAGTGAAAATATACCTTTAAGAAAGAAAGTGAATCTTGAATGTATTTCCCTGCCATCTTGCTCGCTGACATGGCTCTTCATCTCTCTCCAGAAAAAATTGCCTGTGCCCTCCCCTCGGAATGTGAGAAATATTGCGGCACCAAGGTTGGCTGTACCAACATCGCCTACCCGACCATGGTGGTGGAGCTCATGCCCAACGGTGAGATTCATCCCCACTGGCGTGGTCTTTCTTGGGGGGCTGATTGGGCTCGGGCTTCTCGTGGATTCCGTGGGCCTTCTGAGCAAGGTCATGTCCATGCCTAAAGGTAAGTAGGGAAAGTCTCATTCCAGGTGTCCTCGGTTTTTGAGTAGATCTTACCTTGTGCCAAAAAGGCATAGGACTAGGTTGGCTCCAGACCTGGCACTTGTCTGTTGTCAGCCGCACAGCAACTCAGTGTCTGGCTTGTATAATTCTGCTCAAGGCTGGAATTGAGGAATTTGAGATGGTATTTAAAAACAAAAACAAAGACTAGATGCATGACCTTGGGCAAACCATTTGGATTCAAATTCTATAAACACGGGAGTAATACTTAACTATTCCACTTAGCTGGGCTGCTTATTAATTAAGGTTGCAATTAATAAGAGTCACATGGCTCCTTTATTTTACTTATTTATTTATTATTTTTAAAAAATATATTTTATTGATTTTTTTACAGAGAGGAAGGGAGAAGGATAGAGAGTTAGAAAACATTGATCAGTTGTTTCCTGTACACTTCCTACTGGGGATGTGCCTGCAACCAAGGTACATGCCCTTGACTGAAATCGAACCTGGGACCTTTCAGTCCACAGGCTGATGCTCTATCCACTGAGCCAAACAGGTTAGGGTACATATTTATTTTTTTGTTTATCCTTGCCAGAGGATATTTTCCCATTGACTTTTAGAGAGAGTGAAAGAGAGAGGGAAAGACAGAGAGAAACATCGATGTGAGAGAAACACATTGATTGGTTGCCTCCTGCATACGCCCTGACCAGGACCCAGGCCATAAAGGAACCTGCAACCAAGATACATGACCTTGATTGGAATTGAACCTGGGACCCTTTGGTCTGTAGGTTGGCCCTCTATCCACTGAGCCAAACCGGCTAGGGCAAATCCTAGTTTGAGTATTTCTGCTATGTCATGGATCTTTTGGGTTAGAGATCTTATAAAAGTCCACTCAGATGGAAACACACACACACACACACACACACACACACACACACACACACACCATCACTACCGTCACCACCATCATCCAACTGCAAAGTGTTAACCTCATACATATTTTATTCCTACCTCCTTGTTGACTGCTGTGGGTTTCCAATAAAATGCAAAGCCACAGTCCATCCCTTAAAATGTCTGGCTTTTCGGGAGAGATAAATCCAAGGCCAACTGTGACATGATTTCAGAAAGCAAACACACACTGAGTCCTCACATGTTCCAAGCGCTTAAGAGCTGAGGTGCGGTGTGCACCACTCAGAACCCCCTTCTCTTCCAGGGCTGCGAGGCCTGATGCTGTCCGTCATGCTGGCGTCTCTCATGAGCTCCCTGACCTCCATCTTCAACAGCGCCAGCACCCTCTTCACCATGGACATCTACACCAAGATCCGGAAGAGAGCAAACGAGAAAGAGCTCATGATCGCAGGAAGGTCAGTGAAGCTCCCATCTGCCCCCACCAGGGAAGCTGGAATCATCGTAGGGTTCTCTCAAGCCAGGGAAGACGGCAGATGCTTTGGGGAGCGTGGGTGCACCCCCTGTGGCCAGTTACATTTTCCTTCTAGTGGACAATTTGCATATTAGCCTTTTAGTGTATAGGCTATGCACTGAGTGGCCAGATGATTATGCATTCAGAGATCATCATCATCTGGCCACTCTGTGTGTGTGTATTTATTCACGTCGAGCCAGTTGTTGACACTCTTGCGGGGGCTCTGCTTTCAGAGTGTTCATCCTGGTGCTGATTGGCATCAGTATCGCCTGGGTGCCCGTCGTGCAGTCCGCACAGAGTGGGCAACTCTTCGACTACATCCAGTCCATCACCAGTTACTTGGGACCCCCCATCGCTGCCGTCTTCCTGCTCGCTATTTTCTGCAAAAGAGTCAATGAGCAGGTAGGTGGCCTCCGTGTGCGGCCGGGAAGGCCCGTCCTGGTGCAGAAACCCCCACCTGGATGTGTCTGCTCTGTGGGAGGGATTCTGTTTCCCACGCTCTCCAGCGGGAACGGGTGTGAGTGCTTCCATGTTCCGCACTCCCATGCTCTGGCTTCAGAGGGCCTGGCACTGTCTTCTCTGCCACCTTTCTTCTCCTGCCTCTGTCGCTCCGAGTGCACAGCCGTCTTGGGTGTTCAGCCGTTGGTAACCCACGGCTTTCTTTCCCCAGGGAGCCTTCTGGGGCCTGATCATAGGGTTTCTGATCGGGGTGTCCCGCATGATCGCCGAGTTTGCCTACGGAACCGGGAGCTGCATGGAGCCTAGCGAGTGCCCCACCATTATCTGCGGCGTGCACTACCTGTACTTCGCCATCATCCTGTTTGTCGTGTCCATCATCATCATCCTCCTCGTCTCCCTCTTCACCAAGCCCATCCCCGATGTGCACGTGAGTACCCACTCGGGAAACCGGCCCTGTCCTTGTGTCACATGTCCAGGCTGCAGCGCCCCTCTTGCTGGCCCTCGCTCAGGGAGACATCTCACACTCACATGACTACACAGGGCGTCCTTGCCAATGGTGTCGCGCAGAAGCACACAGGACAGGAAGCTCAGCGTGCCGGCTGTGCGGTCTCGGCATGTGCCTTCAGCAGGTGTCCTCAGTGCTCTGCATTCCCATCCCGCGGGTCTTCTCTGAATCATGCTCCCCAAGGGACAGCTCAGGGGCAAGGGTGTGAGGTCACTAGGGCAGGGGCAGGGCTACACTGGCTTAGATGCCCATGCCCAGATAGGAACTTATATTTCTTTTTATTTTTTAAAAAAAATATATGATTTTTATTGATTTTTTTTTTTTACAGAGAGGGAGAGGGACAGAGAGTTAGAAAGATTGATGAGAGAGAAATATCGATCAGTTGCCTCCTGCACACCCCCTGCTAGGGATGCGCCCACAACCAAGGGACATGCCCTTGACCGGAATCGAACCTGGGACCCTTCAGTCCACAGGCCGATGCTCTATCCACTGAGCCAAACCAGTCAGGGTGGAACTTACATTTCTTGTCATAGTTCCATGGTCAGAACTTCCAGGGGTCCCAGCAAGGGGCATCCCTGGTTACAAAAATCGCTACACTCAGGGGAATCTGAAGTATGATTTACCCTTCATTTTTTTTTTCCCTAATTAAGTCCATAGAATTCAAAAGAAATTTCGAGCAATAGAAAAGTCCAATTGATTTAAGACTTCAAAAATGGCAAGTACTCCTCTTTAGCTCTAGATGTCGCCCTTGCTTTAGGGTATATTCACAGCTCTCCCGATGCAGGTGGAGATGACCAATGATAGACCGTTTTCACCAAAAGCAATATAGCCTGGTAACCCAACACAGCTGGCATTCTACCTCTTCCAGGTTTCCAAGGAACAGAGTAAGATCATGTTTGTCCATAGAAGAAGACAAGGGGTTTGTTAACCCATGTCAATAGAGAGGGTGCCTCCAGATCCTCCCGATTCTCAATGGCTCCCGATTCTACAGATTCCCTCCCCATACTATGACCAACACACGTAGATGGTACAACAATATGACCTTATGCGGTTGGTCTGGACTGATGGATGTCTAGTCTTGTTTCCCAGAACCAGTGCCAAAAGGAACCAATTCACTTCTCATTGGCAGCAAGCGTTCATTCATTCAAACCATTTATTTCTGTAGTCAAGGCATCCTCTTAGCCTCCGAATATGCGTATGCTACAGGGGCTAATGTGTACACATCTGTGATTGACACCTGAGTTCCTGACATATTTAGATAAAACGCTGTGGATGGGAACTGGCAATCTATGTTCTTATTGGTCCTGAGAGGCCACGTGCCCCTTTCTTTCTTGATCTCCCAGCTCCTTGGCCCGAGACCCTGTTGGGATCTCCCTGTTGACGTGCTCTGCTTCCTCCACAGCTCTACCGCCTGTGCTGGAGCCTGCGCAACAGCAAAGAGGAGCGGATCGACCTGGATGCCACCGAGGAGGATGTTGTCGATGAAGCCCCAGAGGAGACCTTTGAAATAGGTGAGTGCCTCCATCAAAGCCAGATCGCTCTCCTGGGGCGGGGGAGGGCGTGGGTGTGTGAGGGGGGGCAATGGGAGCTGGGTGGGGAGGTGTGAGAGGAGTAAATGGGTTCTGGGACATCTGCTCAAAGCTTGCAGGTGCAGAGGAGGAGGTAAGGAATATCTTACTCTAGTCTAGTGTTTCATTTTGGCACCACATCATCCTTTAAAGAAAAGATAATGCGAGGATAATGCTTCCAATTTTACCGATGAGTAAAACGAGACATAGAGACTTTCTGGAATATTTTCTGCAGAGGGCAAGGTCTTTTACAAACTAAACTTAAAAAAAAAAAAAGTATGTATATGTTTAAAAACAAGCAACACATGACGTTCTACCTTAACAAGTAAAAATGGACCCACTTCCATTACTTGGCCCAGAGGTGACCACCATTGAGAGTTTTTTTGGTCCACCAGAGAATTTAAAAAATATATATATTTTTATTGATTCTAGAGAGGAAGAGAGAGAGGGAGGAAGAGAAAGAGAGAGAAACATCAAGGATGAGAGAGAATCATCGATCCGCTACCTCCTACACCCCTCACACTGGAGAGTGAGCCCTCAACCCCGGGCCTGTGCCCTGACTGGGAATCGAACCGTGACATCCTGGTTCATAAGTTGATGCTCAACCACTAAGCCACGCCTTTTAGTTCCTCCTGCTTCCGTAGCCAACCATTCCTTTACTCCTTTTCCCCGACACAGAGGCTCCCGAGGAGAAGAGAGGGTGCTGCCGGAAGGCCTACGACATGTTCTGTGGCCTGGACCAGCAGAAGGGCCCCAAGATGACCAAGGAGGAGGAGGCCGCCATGAAGCTGAAGCTCACCGACACGTCCGAGAAGCCGCTGTGGCGGACCGTAGTGAACATCAACGGCATCATCCTGCTGGCCGTGGCCGTCTTCTGCCACGCCTTCTTCGCCTGAGCGAGGAGACCAGACGGCTCCCTCTGCCCCCCGCCAGTCCCGTCCTGGGGTGTTGGAGGGAAACCAGGCAGTTGTAAATTTTGTCCAGTCCAGTCGATAAATGTGTGCATGTGTCGTCAGAGGAGAGCCGGACCAAGGCAACGAGTGTGCTGTGAACCTATGCACTGGAGGCCAGTGTGACACAGGCGGTGGTGCACAGCATGTCAGAGCCGTGGAAGGAAGTCTGCTCGTGGATGGGAGTGCAGACCGAGAACCAGAATCCCCCCGATGCGGCGGGGCATGCTCGTCTCAGGCCGATGGAGCGTGTCCACGTTGTTTGTGGCCCTTGACTGTTCATTTCCAGAGGTGTGGCCTCCCCGGTTCCTGCCACTTTCTCTATCGGAACCCCCTATCCTTTTTTCTTTTTTTTTTCAAGAAAGATTTCACTCTCCATCATGCCCCTGTCAAGTTATTTTTTTGGTGCAAGAAAAGTCAACCCGATAAACTGATCAACTCATGGAAGCCGAATTTGTGTGTGGCCTGAATGACTAGCAGGGGCATTCTTCATGAACACAGGCTCTGTTTTTGGGTTCACCCTTTCCTGTGGCTGCAGGAAGTACACCCTGTAGTGACTGTCATGCCTTCCCAGAGGCCTCTTCCTCATGATGTGGGTGTTGACATACTGACTTCAAAGTTTGACTCTGTGTCATGTCCCAGAGCAAATGTGCCTCATGTGTGTGTGTGTGTGTGTGTGTGTGTGTTTGGGGGGGAGGCAGAATCCACCATCTCAAAGCCACCACGCTGTCCTGAACTACTGAGACAATTAGCCTGAGACCCTCCTCCCCTTGAGTTCACGTGACCACAGCCCTTACTCTTTCCAGTCCTTAGACCGGCCATCACCCATTGACCAAGGTTAGGCCAGGTGGTCTCCGTCCTGGGTGGGAGCGGATTTATATTTCTTGTTGAACGTGTTTGTGTCCCAGAGAGAAGGTTTTAAAAGGCAGCGGCTTTAAATAGAATTCTTCCCATCCCGCCTGTGAAATCTCCACTAGATGGCAATAGAGTCTTGTGACCATGAAGAAAAGGCCCGGATGTTAGTGTGGACTGATCTCAGGCGAGCTTGGAGGAGAGCTGTGGTCTGGGGCTCCATGGGGCTGAGAGTGGTCCCCCTCAAGCTGGGAAGGGGAGAGGGAAGCGTGGAGAGTTCCACGTGGCTTCGTGTGGAGTGTGTGGCACTGTTTAGGTTGGAGAGGGTACAGGGCCAGGATCGGTGGCTGGCGGACGGCGTGGCCACACGAAGCATCTCGGTTGTCTTGGAGCCTGAGCCTGGCTTTGCCAATGATTCGCCGTGTCTATTGTGATAAATTATTTTGTTTCCACTGTGTATTGTTTTCTCTTTGAAAAAAAAAAAAATGGGAACCTTGGTGCTTATCGATCTACCTCCCTCCTCTGGGTGTGACGAGGTCACGGGGAAACGGGGATGGGCGGTCCATCCAGGAGAGATGCCGTACGGGTGTCCTATCACACTGCATCTGGTCCCCCAATGAAAATGTATAACTTTGATAAAAAAAAAAATAAACACACCAAAAACCATGGCTTCCTGGTTTCCTGTTCTCTAAAGGGTCTAGACAAATACCAACCGTGTCTGAGGGTGCAGGAGGTTGTGTAGTTGGTGTAAGATGTAGATTAGGAAGCAGGCACCAAGGCAGCTGAGAACTGAATACAGCAACTGGAACAGAAGGTAGCCAAGTCCGGGAAGGACTTCTATTTCAAAATCTCCAGTAAACATGAGGGGAGTCGCTCTGCCTTCACTGCACCATATCCTGTGGGAACAGACTGAGCTACGGGGGTGCCAGGGACCAGTAAGTGATAAACTGGACTAGAATAATTTCAGGGTGCAGGGAAGAGCTATTCCTTTCTTCAAACGGAAAATGGGTTATGGGGCAGAGTGATTGCTTATTTATTTATTATTTTTAAACTTTCACCCGAGGATATTTTTCCATTGATATATAATTTTAGAGAGGAAGAGAGAGATAGAAACATCAATGATGAGAGAGAATCATGGATCAGCTGCCTCCTGCACGCACCCTACTGGGGATTGGGCCATGTGCTCTGGACTGGAATTGAACCCAGAACACTTTAGTCCACAGGCTGACACTCTATCCACTGAGCTAAACCAGCTACGGTTCCATTGATTTTTAGAGAGAGTAGAAGGGAGAGGGAGAGACGGAGAGAAACATTGATGTGAGAGAAGAGAGACACATCAATTGGTTGCCTCCTGCACACCAGGCCAAGGCCTGGGCTGGGGAGGAGCCTGCAACTGAGGTATGTGCTCTTGACTGGAATTGAACCTGGGATCCTTCAGTCTGCAGGCCGATGCTCTAGCCACTGAGCCAGACCAGCTAGCTAACACTAATCTATAAAATTAAACTGTGGCGATGCTGCAGGACTGTGGCAATTCTGAAACACACGGAACGGCACACTTTAGTATTTATCTTTTAATGGAATTTATTGGGTGACGTTGGTGAATAAAACCACACAGGTTTCAATGTGCAGCTCGATTAAACATCATCTGCCCACGGCCCTGTGCGCTCAGCACCCCAAAGAAAGTCTCTTTCTGTCCCCATTTATCCCTCTTTACCTACACCTCCCCCTTTCCCTCTGGCTATCAACACACTGTTGTCTGTGTCTATGTGTTGTTATATGTATGCGTGTGTGTGTGTGTGTGTGTATATATATATATATATATATATATATATATATATAACCTTTCACCTTTTCCACCTGGCCCCCCAATCCCCTATTTGAACTGTATACTTGAAATAGATACATTTCATGGTATGTGAATTATATTTTAATAAAGTGGTTTAAGAAAAGCAATGGCTCAATATGCTAACTTTCAGTGGGGAATGAGTTTATTGATGGCAGAATAACTTCCTAAAAAGTTCATAAAAATAGTCACCACAGGCATGTCCAGCTCTCTTCCCCTCAACTACTGGGAACTATTCCTACTTTTCAAGCCCCTGAGATCAGCGAGGTGCATTGGGGAGGAAAAACAATATCGCTGTTTTTCCGATGAGGGGTCCCGGGTGAGGCAGAGTAGGGGGAGGGAGTCCTTCCACGTGGAAATCTCTGGAAATAGCAGGAAGCAAGTTTGACACAGGGCCATCTATCTGGTGAGCTACATACAAAAATAACTTACTCCCAAATCCTCCTAGTTACACACACACACACACATGGAGCCAGCTCACTGGCTTTCTAAACAATCCACGCTTACTCCACGGACACCAAGGAACAGCAAGCGCTGAACGTCATGCCTCAAGTTACTGGATAAAAATTAGCAACTGAGCCGAAACCGGTTTGGCTCAGTGGATAGAGCGCCAGCCTGTGGACTGAAGGGTCCCGGGTTCGATTCCGGTCAAGGCATTTACCTTGGTTGCGGGCACATCCCCAGTGGGGGGTGTGCAAAAGGCAGCTGATGGATGGTTCTCTCTCATTGATGTTTCTAACTCTCTATCCCTCTCTCTTCCTCTCTGTAAAAAAATCAATAAAATATATTTAAAAAAAATTAGGAACTGCTCGTCTCCCTTTCGCATCACAACGAGCCCCACCCGTGAAAGGCCGGCGATGTCCTCTGCTTCGTGAACCCCCTGGGGGCTCCGGCGGGCTCAGGCGAAGTAGCCGTGGGCGAAGACAGCCACGGCCAGCAGCACGACGGCGTTGACGTTCACCACGGCCCTCCAGAAGGGCTTCTCGGACGTGTCCGTCAGCTTCTTCCTCTGGGCTTCCTCCTCCTCTTTGCTCAGCTTGGGGCCTTTCCTCTGCAGGCCGCAGAACGCCTCGTAGGCTCTCCGGAGACACCCTGGCGTCTCCCCAGGATCGTCTGGACCAAAGAAAGATAAAGGAACGATCACAAAGCTCGGGAAACCCAACTCCCGTCAAGGCCGTGCGATGGCGGCAAAGAATGACGACAACTACTCCCATGCCTTAGAGGAACATCCCTGAGGAAACACAGATAACTCTGCTCATGAAAGAACTAGAGGCCCAGGGCATGAAATTCATGCACAGGCAGGGTCCCTAGGCCTGGTTGGTGATCAGGGCCAATAGGGGCCTTCCAGCTGCCGGCTGGGACCTTCCTTCATTCCACACCACCCCCTAGTGGTCAGTGCATGTGACAGTGAGTGATTGAACTCCTGGTCTCCCAAACTCCCAAGGAGACACTTTGCATGTTAGCCTTTTATATATATAGATGGAGCCCGGCTGGTGGTGTGGCTCAGTTGTTGAGTGTTGACCTGTGAACCGGTAGGTCATGGTTTGATTCCCGGTCAAGGCACATGCCCAGGTTGCAGGCTCCGTCCCAGTGGAGGCGTGCAGGAGGCAGCTGATCAAGGTCTCTCTCTCATCATTGATGTTTCTCTCTCTCCCTCTCCCTTCCTCTCTGCAATCAATAAAAACTATATTAAGAGAAAAAAAATAGAAAACCGTTGCGTAGCATAGAGCCCAATAAACAAAGTCAAACAAGTGCCTAGCTGGGGAAGTCATTTGCACCTTATATCACACGGGGTGTGATATCCTTAGTAGTAATGAGTTTCTTGATATAGAGCACATCCTACAAACAACTTCATGCAAACACACGAGAGCGACACATCAACAGTTCAAAGTGAGAGAGAGAGAGTTCTCAAACCAAAGGCAAACCAGACACTACCTTCATCGGCATCGTCGGCAGCGTCTTCCTGTCTCTGCTCGTCCGCGTCTAAATCGATCCGCTCCTCGGTCCGGTTCCGAAGAGACCAGCACAGGCGGTACAGCTGCCCAGAGACCACAGACAGGCCCATTCGTGATGAGCGAGTGTTTACAATAACATAACAGAGCGTTTACTGTATAGTGCAAAAAAAATCACACAGCGTAGGAAAACACACACAGCAAAGAAAAGGGCTCCTCCCACACTCATTCACAAAAACACACCGTTTTACATTATTTCTGGCCCGGCATGGCTCAGTGGTTGAGCATCCTCCTATGAA